TCTAATCAAAGATAATAAATGGATAGATATTGGGTATAATATAAACTATATTAAGGTATTTAAGTAATTAAGAGATTATTCATTACATTTAGTGAATTAGAGAAAATGTTATATATGTTCGTAAATGTTATTGATTGTAAATTCTTGTATAAGGTAAAATGAGATTCGTAAAGAGTTTCAAATTTTATTCAAATAATCAATGACTATGGTGTTAAGAACAAATATGATTTGACATAGTAAACACACTTCATATTATAATATCTAAATCAAAACATTATTAATGAATGAATAATAATTACATTAAAAAATTAGTCATTGAAAGGTTAAGTCAAACTACTTATAACTTTTTCAATATTTAAAGGACCATAATAGATTGCTAGATATCAAACTTGATCTTCAAATATAGATCAATGAGTTGTTGAATTGAAAATAAATTAATTTATTTAATTTATTTAATCCTATTTTTGTTATGATTATGATTTATATTTGAATCAACTTATTATGAACCTAATGAGTCCACATATAAGAATTATTGGTTAAAAAATAAAATGGAATGATTAATCAAGTGTGACTTGATTATAAATAATCTTTAGAAATTAAGGACTAAAATATACTTTATACATTGCATAACAATTCTAAACCTAAAAAAATCAAGCAAAGACTTAATTGAATAAATTTTTAAAATTAACCTAAAATAATATATATGATATTATTTAAGGAGAAAATTAATACTTTTCAATCTATATGATTTTTTGGTTTTCTTTTAAATAGAAAGCTATGTCTTTTGATTTCTGTAAAGAGTTTAAATGTGAAAATAGTATAATACAAAAACATTTAGACACAAAAGAAAAAAACTAGCATTTTAAAGTATAATAATCTTTCTCTCCTAAAAAGGTTTAGAATATTTCTTACTAATAATTCATGTGAATTACCATTAGAAGTTAAAAAATTAAATGACTTATGATTTGCAACAACCCAACCTTGAAACATATATTCAAAGTCGAAAAAAAGTTAATATCTTTAAGTTTGAGTTTCATTTATTGCTGCAATGCAATCATTGCTGAAAGCTTATATTAAACACTTAAACTAACAACTTCTCCCTTTTGAACCCAGTTGTTAACCTAATACTTTGAAGCCACTAAATAACCATCAAGTACTCTTTATCTATCTTATAATATCATATAATCTACCATAATAATTATATAATTATATCTGGTCATGGATATAAATATCATTTAAAAAGTCTTAATCAATCTTAAACCTTTTTAAATAAAAAAGATTCATAATTTTTACATTGTAATTAAAAAAAATAGAATGGAACTTCAATCTTTTAAGGTTAATCCACTTCACTTTTATTCTTTGCACCTAACACTCTTTTTTATCTAATAAGGGTAAATAAATTTATGGTTTCACTTTTTTCTCTTCCTTTTTTAAACTATATATTTATCAAATTCTTTGAAATGTCCAATTTTCTTCTTAGTTAAAAATAACCATAATTATTTATATAAGGTTGATATAGTATTTTTTAACTTAAATTTGTAGAATATTACAAAGATTTCATGAATTTTTTTCCTCATATCTTAGTTTGTTAATCCACCTTGTTAGAGATATTTTATAACTGTAACACTAACTCTTTTAAGTTTTTAGATTATGGACTGGTTACCTCATAATCATATTGATATTAAAAGCTACATTAGGCTTGGTTGTATTATTTTAACCATTTATCTGCATCAGAATGAAGTTATAGGAGATGAAGTAAGCTTTATGTACTCTTATTATTGTTATTGATCTGAACTTCTTTATAGAACATTTATGGTCTTATAATTTTATTTTCCTTTACATAGCCTTGTTGCGATCTTGGCTCCAGTTTGAGCAGGCTTCTGGATGTATCAAACGATACTTTCTGGAGAGCTAAATGGGTCTATATTAGGGTGCAACTGATTTGAAAAATGTACTTGTATTAGACTAATGATCAATGATGTTTAGTTTGTCATAATAAGAGCATTAAAAATATAAAAGATATTCAATGAAAGCCTAGAGTTCATACAAGTTTAAATCTATAACCATATAAGATAAAATAACAATTTATGTCAAATATACTTTCAACACAAATATAATAATATAATTCTATCATGTATACCAAGAATATATTTAAATTTGCAATTGATGTTAATTCAAATACCTTGCATGCATATTAATAATAAAAATGGATATATTTAAATTAAACAAACGAGGGTGCTTATTAAAGCACTTTAAAATAATAAAACTTTTATTGTTATTAATTATGAATCCTTTGTCTTTAAGGTTTTATTGCTCTTCACTTATGCAACTAAAATATTGGTGATATCTTTCTTCAGATTTCAACAACACCACCTTATATATAAAAACAAAATCTTTTAACTAAAATAAAAATTGTTTTAATTATCTCTCAACAAAGTGAACTTAAGAAAGTATAAAAAGATAAAGGAAAACACTAAAATAAAAAGAGGAAGTGTGTGTAAAATTTACAAAAAAACTTATGCAAAACTTTTTCTTCACCTCCTTTTTCTAATTGTGGATTTTAAAAATTAAAAAATTAAAAAATTAATTCTAGTAATAATCAAATTTAGTTCCCGCAATTATCAGCCTTTTATTGATTTTATATATTCAATATAAATAATACCATTTGAGAGCAAAAATTTAATGGTATTATATCTACAATGTAAATGTCTAGAATTACTATTTTACATATTACTTTATGTTCTTCTAATTGTTCTATGTTTATCATAATAGACATAAATAACACTAGTTTTAACCAACATAGAATATCTTTTAAGAAATTTTAAATCCATTTGGTTTCTTTTTCACTTTTATCAAGAGCAATAAATTTTGATTTCATTATGAATCTTATAATATATTTTTTTAGAGGATTTTCACAACACGATTGCTCCACTAAGTATAAAATCATATTCACTTATAGATTTTGAATTCTTAGTGTTTATATTTAGTTAGCATCAATATACCCTTATAGTATCACTAGGCAACCAGTATAGTACAACCCATAGTTTAAGATGTATCTCAAATATTTGAGTAATCTTTTTATTGTCTTCTAATGATTCATACTTAGATTACTAGTAAATCTATTCAGTTTACTTATTAAGTAAGCAATATCAGGCCTTGTGCAATTTATAATGTTCTTTTGACTTTTAATTATTTAAGAATATTCCAATTGATTTATTTTCTTACCTTTATTCTTGAACATATGTACACTTATATCAATTGGTATTTTGACAATATTATTGTTACCGTTAGAAAATCTACTGAGAATTTTCTTAATATAATGAAATTAGAACAATACAAATCTATCAGATGTCCTATAAATTTTTATTTTTAGTATGACATTTGCAATACTCAAGTTTTTCATATTAAACTTTCTAGTTAACGTTTTCTTAGTAGATTTGATTATGTGATCATTATTGTCTAAAATTAACATATAATTTATATAAAGACATATAATAACATAATCTTTATATGCGTTTTACACATAAACATATTTATTATTATTGATTTTGAACTCATTTTATATCATAACCTTGCCAATTTTTTATATCATTGTTTAGGTGATTGTTTCAAATTATACAATGATTTGACAAGCTTGTATATTTTCTTTTCTTGTTTATTGAGAATAAACCCCTTGAATTGTTCTATCTAAACCTTCTCATCAAGTTCAATGATGATGGTTTTTAGCCTTCATCTTACTTGAAAAAATAGATTGGATTTGAGAGAGATTTTTTTTCGATTTAATTTTGTGTCTCTAAACCAATTTTCAAAAGTTTTAAATCAAAAAAATAGTTTACTTGATGTTTCTATAGTGTTGTTTAGATGTTTTTGTCAAAATAAGTTAAATTAAAAAAATAAAATATTGAACCAAAAATCACCCTATCCTGATTTTCTTACCACCTCTTAATGGTTGAGATTTAGGTTGGTAAAGATGTATTATTTGCCATCACAAATGATGCATAACCTATATTTTTTTTTCAAAAAGACAGACAATATAAAGAAAAAAAACTAGTATGGGCTGGTTTTTTTATGTTTAGGTTAAGTGCTTGAACTATATTTTTTTTTCTAAAAAATATTTAATATGATAATTTATCTACTTTTTAATTTTAACATGATTCTTAAAATAGTATTATAGGCTTTTATTAGAATGTAAATATTTTTTTAATAATTATGTACATAATGTGCAAATTGATCATGAATATCAGTTTAAGTTTAATTTTTAATTTTTTAAATTTGTAAATAGATTTCTTATATGATATTACTATTACTATTATTATTATTATTATTTAATCACATAAAGCATATGAACATATTATCCTGATACATGTTTTTTTAAGATGTTTTGAAAATCATAAAATATTTTTTGAAATAGTTATTTGAGTTAAAAAAATACTTTCACATTGTTTTCAAGAAGATTAAAAAAAAATTATGATAATATTATCAATTTTTTATGAATAATTATATATTAGAACCACATGCAGAACTTTAATAATAATAATTTTCTTATTATTAATATTTAACGAGGGGAAATATTTATATTTATTCTAATTATTTATATTTTTATCAAATTAAGAACCCATGTAAAAAATATGTTTTTTATTGAAATAAATACATTAAAAAGAAAAGCAAGAATTATGCTAGAATTCTTTTAATGGAGTTTAAATTATTTATATTCTAAAAAAAAATAACTCAATAATCTTAACTTCTTGATTATCTTTTATTGAAATCAAACTAGTTATCATCTAAAGCATATTTAAGGATTTGCCGTATTTGTGACGAGAAGAGCGCGATGTCAGCCATTAGCCAGACAGCTAAGGTAGATAGAGTCAAAAGTCAAAGAAAACACAGCTCTCCTATTATTGTTAAACTACGTTTCTTTTTTCTTAAAAAAAGAAGAAGAAAAACACGCCCTTTTAAATTTCCTTCCTGAGAGCGCCTATTTAGAAGCCCCAACGAAAAAGATATAGGACAGTAAAACGTTGGAGAAACCTCCCTGCCTCCTTAATCTTTCCTTCATAGGTGAACAGAACAGAACAGGGTTATCGACACTTTTATGCGTTTTTTCTAAATTCACTAGTCTGTTCTCCTGTGACCCGAGAAAGAATCATTTACTGGTAGGTTTTCTCCAACAATTAATAAAAAGAAGTGTAAAAACCGTGTTTATCTTGATTGATCTCAATCGGGGTTTGTTTATTTGGTCATTTGGGTTAGCATTATAAAAGGGTTATGAGAATCCTGTACTGTTTGATTGAAAAGTTTTGATTTTGAGACAAGGGTTTGGATTTTTGTTCTTGCTGGTTTGGCTGAGGTTATTGGATCTGGTTTTTTATTTTGGATTGGTAGTGTTTGATAGAAGTGGTTATCTTGGAATGATTGTTGGTGGGTTTGTGATAGATCCATGGGAGAATTGTCGTGATTGAAGGGATTTGATTACTTGGTCTGGTGTGACTAGTTTCTTTGTGTTTGTTGATGAATATTGTTATTTTTGAAGAGGAGGATCGGCTTGTGAACTTTCCCAATTCGCTTCTGGGTGTTCTCAGGCCCTTGGATTTACTTGTTGAACGAAAGGTCTTTTCTTTTTGTATCCCTAGAGATAGATGGGATAAGGAATTTTTCAAACTTCAGAGCGGATAATTACTACTATCACCATCATCCATCTAATTTTCAAAGGTTGTGATTGTATAATTTTGGTTTGGAAATTGGAATTTTTGGAAAATGAGTTCCTCGCAAGGGTCCACATTGTCTTCTAATGTCGCTGAGCTGGTTGACGGTTCATCTGCTCACAGGGACGTTTCTTTGCTTGATGATGTGCCTGTTTATGTGAAGGAGCTCATTGCTGGTGGAACTGCTGGAGCATTTGCTAAGACTGTCATCGCACCACTTGAAAGAACTAAAATACTCTTACAGGTGCAGCACCTCTCCTTCTTATATGATTTTGTGGATTTCATGTGACTGATTATTTCTGCTACATGTAGTTAGATTTTGTTTGGATTAGCCATTATTAGGCTCTGCTGAAATCGAACTCTAGGTAGGAACTGTTTCTAATATGCAAGTTTCCCTGTACCTTTGCAAAAACTAGCTTTTTTAACTATTAGTTAAAGAACAGAATTTTGAAATTTGAACCAGCATGTTCCGGGAAGAACTTAAGATTCTTGATCTCCAGTTTATTAAAATGGGTTTTTGTCTAAAACTTGTGTTCCTAGTGTAAGCCTGAAAGAGGATCTGCCATGCAAATTTGGTGCTGCATGGGGATTTTGCATTATTGTTGCTTCCTGCGCTGATCAGTTGTTTCTTTTTCCTTATTGACTTGCTTTCAAATGTTCCAATCAATTTGCATTTCTGACACTTTTTTTTTCTTTTTTTTTTTTGAACTTTCTTGCTTATTTTTGTAGACAAGAACTGAAGGTTTCCAATCTCTTGGAGTGTTTCAGTCCTTGAAGAAACTATTAAAGCATGAGGGAATCCTTGGCTTTTATAAGTAAGTTTTAGTTTGTTTCTTCATTTACTTTTTTATTTATACCAGTCATGAATTTATCATAGCTTATGGTTATGCTTTATGCTTTCTTCTAGGGGGAATGGAGCCAGTGTTATTCGGATTGTTCCTTATGCGGCCTTACATTTCATGACATATGAGCAATATCGTGTTTGGATCTTGAATAATTGCCCTGCCCTTGGTACAGGGCCTGTGATAGATCTATTAGCTGGTTCAGTGGCTGGAGGAACAGCTGTTTTATGCACTTACCCTTTAGACCTGGCTCGTACTAAGCTTGCTTATCAGGTAACTAGTTTGCAAGATTGTTATTGAAGCTTTTGTTTTTGAGTTTGATGGAAGCCCATGGATTTCATATTAAAGGGTAGTGAACAATGAAAGCATGCTCTAGTTTGTTTTTGAAACCTGGTTTTAATTCATTTTGATTATCTGGAAACTGTCTAAATTACGTTTCTACTCAAAGTAGTTTTATGTTGTTGAACACTTAAACTGTTCTATTTACCTGGTTTTATAGATGGAGATGGTTCAGCATGTAATCTCCTGTCCTTTTTCTAATGGTTCTGCAGGTTGTGGACACAAGAGGGGGTTTCAGGCGTGGCATGAAAAGTATATGTGCTCAGCCTGCATATAATGGCATAAAAGATGTACTTACAAGTGTCTACAAGGAAGGGGGAATGCGTGCATTGTATCGAGGAATAGGTGCGTATCTGCTTGTTTTATGGTGATTTGCTCACTGATGCAGTGTGTAGGCATTGTTGTCTGAAGGTGATCACTACTTGTGTTTATAAGCATGTTATTGAGCGTAAAAATTTGAATAATACAACCTTTACATAGGAGCATTATCATGTCCATCATCAACTATAGTTGGATGGATTTAAATCATTAATGGTGTCATTGGTGATTAAATTCAAACTGTAATTAAATTTGAACAGGTTTAACTGATCTCTCCAAATCCACCAAATCTCCATTTTCGATCAATTGATTAATTTAGTCTATCTTTTTTTAGTTATTTAAGCAATGATATGATTTAGCATTTTTTATCATTAGTATCTCAATTTGTTTTTTATGGTTAAAATGAAATATACAAGATTTAGCATTTTTTATCATTAGTATCTCTGTAACACAATGGAGATGGATAATTCTAAAAAAAAGGGGAGATATAGAAAGTGCATTGCATGCAAAACAGAAATGATATTGCAGTTACCATTCTCAAAATATGTAAATGACATGATCTTTGGTAATTGCAACTGCTAAAATCTTTTCCTAAACTGACAATTAGTTTCAAAAGTCACCTCTATACAACGCCATTTTTATCTTCTTTTTTGTTGAAGAAGCTGCTGCATCACCATGATCATTGCTTGCAAAACTCACCATTTATGATGAATTCAAACTCGGATAATTTTCATCATTGGATACAAAAATAAGATTTTTCCTAAATCCCATCAGCCACCTGCATCTTTCCACAAAACCAAAATTGGATTATTGAGTATTTCTGGTCAAAACCCAAAACTACCTCTAGTTATAGCTCAATTCAGCTTTGCCAGTATGCCTCTTTCAGCTTTCCCACTACACCCACAAACATGAGCTCAAAAGCATCGCAGTCAGATACCTTGAAGACAAGTCCAGAACAGATGTAACATATAAACATGAAAACCACTAGGAGATCACTTCTCATTGATTTTAACAGTGTGACTTGCATGTCACTGTTGATTCCACCCAGCTGCTTTTTCTTGGCTAGTTAAAATGTCCAGCATATCATGAACCATAGAAAATTTGATCCTATATGTTGACATGTAATTTTGACAACAATGCTTGGAATAGTTTATAATCTTTACTATGATTTAACTTGTACTTTACACGCGCGCGCACACACACATGATACTTGTTGCCCTGTTCCGCTGGCCACAATGATGAAGTTTCTTTATTTGAGCAGGTCCAACCCTTACTGGAATCCTGCCTTATGCGGGTCTGAAGTTCTATGTTTATGAGGAACTTAAGAGACATGTCCCTGAAGAGCACCAGTCCATTGTGATGCGTCTTTCATGTGGAGCTATTGCAGGGTTATTTGGGCAGACAATTACATACCCATTAGATGTTGTTAGAAGACAGATGCAGGTATATCACAAAACTTGTGCACTCCTCATTTAGGTTGCTATTCTAGACATGACTATTACTGTAGGATGTAGAAAATTATCACAGTACAGCTATACAGAGAGTGAACTTTAGTCTATAGGGCACTTTCTGCAACCCTGTTTGCATGAACTCCGGTATGAGTGATTGCTGCTTCTGGAATGTATCCTAGATAGATTTTCTGGTTCCTGAATTTATATTGGTGAATAGACCATGTGCTTGACCACTTGATCATCATATGCCTCTTCACAGTTCAATGTTGGTAGGAAAAGCATGTCAAACTTGGTGTAACCTGTTTCAAATTTATTAAAAAAATGATAGCTTTCTAGTTGAGATTTTTAGTGTCAGCGTACACAGTTTGAAACTTAAACTAGAATTTTGGGATGTCAGGTTATAAAGTATTACTGGAATGTATTTTACAGGTTGAGAATTTACAACCTTTAAGTCAAGGTAATGCAAGATACAGGAACACATTTGAAGGGCTTTCTACTATAGTCCGCAATCAAGGATGGAAACAGTTATTTGCTGGGCTGAGCATTAATTATATCAAGGTAATGCTTTCAATTCATGGAATATTGCAACTGATATTAGACTTTTGTTATCCATGCATTTTTGCTGACAATCAAATATGTACTTCCATTGCACATGAACTTCCTTTCGCATTTAAATAAGATAGTATTTACTGACCGTGTTCTGCTTGGTTATTGAGTTTTTTTATTAAATGGAAAAAAAATTGTTTTTAGGTGCTTTCAAGTGACAACCATTTTAATATAATTTATAATGGAAGAGGCAATTTTGTTTGTGATCCCTTATTTGGGATGCATGTGATATTGGATACTAGGAGTACAATATATTGCCAAGTGTTTTTATCATGTTTTACACCTGAAGACTCTTACATGGATGCTTTGGATATTGATTTCAATTTACGTGTTGTGCTGACTGTTTTGATTTTTAATTGGCTTTCATGTATTGCCTGAAGTTCACCACTTACTCTTTTGTTATTATAGGCATTCTATTGGTGGTTTATTTATTTACATACATGGTTTGTGAAATTTTGATCTGCCAAGGAACTACAAGAATATGATCTTCTGTCTTCTTGGAATGCATTGTGGAAAGTGAAATGCAAATCTTTGATTAAAATTTTATTGGTTATTATGATTCATAAGAGCAAATGAGAGAATTTTGATTTTTCTCCCAGAGTAGTTAGTTTTTCCTCTTTTCTTATTCCTTTTGTTTTGTTTTGATTTTTTTTTTAAAGGATCAATCTGATAGTTCTTTTCCTTGATGTTTTCCTAAAATTTCTGGGAAATCACAAAACCTAATGCACTGCTGATATCTGGAAACTTTTTTCCCCTTCTCTGACTATATGAAATTTGCCTGTTCAAAACCACGTTTGTTCTTGCAAGCCTGCTACACCAACCTCTTTATGGTCGCATGACATTGTAGATCATTGTGGAAATGCTGGACCAAGTATCATCATCAGAAATTTGACCAGCTAGTCAGTAAAAAGAAAAAAAGCAGAAAGTTTAAAAGTATTTTCATCAGGCAAATGGTCATTTTTGCTATTACTAGGTTCATGAATGCTTTATAGAGGCCATGTACATTGCATTACTTGTCCCACTAGTGATATGCTTGCATGGTGCGGGAAGTGTTTTGAAAGTAATATGAGTGGTTCCATGTTTTCAAAATGTTCACTAAGATTTTGTTTTTCATTATCCTGCGATTGCCCTTTACTCTGGATTCACAGTGAGTTTGTAGTTAATGACATCGTTGCACTGCCTATTGCCAGATCGTTCCTTCTGTGGCAATTGGCTTCGCTGCATATGACACGATGAAGGTTTGGCTTCGGATTCCACCTCGACAGAAATCTCAATCAATATCTCCAGGATAAATCTCAAGCTGACTAAGTTTCCATTACAACTATACAGTGCTCAACTAGTAATTTTTCGTTGTTGTGAGACTTTAAGATAAGTTTGGACATTGGATGCACATATATAAGGTTTTCTATGCGTGGTGCATTTGATTTTCAAGATGATTGTTAAGCCCAATTTGGACTGAAATCATTACTGGAATCAAAATTAGGTGACACTGCTGTCTTGAAGTCTTTATAAAATGTGCTCGTTTTATGTTGCTGCAATATTAAAGTAAGCCACATAGAATTATTGGAGAAGCTATTCTTGGTCTTATTTGGCAGGTTCTCACGTGTCAGCATAACCACTGGCTATGGTGGCCCATGAACAGTGGCCATTTTCATAGAAATGGGTCTCATTGACTGGCATTTCTGTCGTCATGGAATAAAGACTTTGACTGGTGGCTCGGGATACGTTGTCGGCCCAGTTAATAGTTTTTAATGTAAGACAGATGTTTGGATAATGATAGAACAAATCTTGTTTACAATCCAAGATGTGAAATAAGGGTAATCCTTTAAAAATAAATGCAAAAAATTCAAAAAAGTTCAAGGCCAAATAATAATGTCGAAAAGTGAAAAAGCATTAATTTAAAAAAATATTAAAAAAAACTTAAATCCCTATAAATCACAATATAAGATTAAAATTAAAAAAATATTTATTAAAAGAAAGATCTAGAAAAAAAACCAAAGGTAAGTAAAAAAAAAAAACCTTCACTGTTGCCGAATTACCATGAATATTACAATAAAAAAGCCACAACAAATAGTAATAAAAAATACAAATAGCAATAAAAAATAAATATAAATATAAATTGGAGGATACAGTTAAATTTTTAAAGACTTGTTATGAATTTCAAGCCTCATGGGAGAGTTTTTTTTTATTTCAAGGTTAAAGATGTTGTGCTTGGTGTTTTTTTAACTTTTAAGGGTATTTACATTATTCTATCGTGTTAAGAAAATAGAAAAGACAAAAAAAAAAAAAAACAGAAGAAGAAAAGAAATCATCCCCGTCAATTTGCTAATGATCATGGGATCCTCTAGAGAGTACGTGCCAAGCCCGTTATCTAGGCAACTGGTCTTTGCAGAGAATGGCAAAAAAAGTAAATACAGTGTGCTAGTACACAGTGTAAATCACATAACTCTTTCGGGGCTTTTTCCATAATTATAATTTAGAATTTTCCATCTCCATTTGCTTTACTAGCCACCTTCCTTGATTGTCAGATGAGAGTTGCCTGCCAGCTTGTCTCTTTTCCAATGGAAAACAACAAGTCCATTTCTTGACGCGTGGGATTTGATCGTGTTTTGACAGCACGCTGTTGTGAAACTGCTTCCTTTTACTAGAGTAGGAGCTGTACCAGTCAATTCAGAAAGGTCCTTTTATATTCAATTCAACTGTACGTCTGGTAGGGTTCTTATTGAATCGAAATGAACGTAGATGATAAGGTTTTGGATCGACGTCTTGTCCATAAAATGTTTTATCTTTCCTCCCTGTTATACCGCCGTTGCTGTCATTCATGGATAATAAACAATACAGAAGCAGGCAGCTGGTTCGTTGACTTGCAAAATACTTTGTTTTTTATTTCTGCCCTTTACCATTATTAACCACTGAATCTATGCTGGAATATTAATTACGTGTTACGTACACAGAAACAAAATGGCTAAACTCGGTTCAGAATCATTTTGATTGGTATTATACAATTTATTCATCACAGATATTACACAATTTAACTTGATGGGATGCCCAGAATGTGCAGTCCAACGTTAACCTGATATATATATATGTTCAAGAGAACAAGAAGCATTATCTTCTTCGCTTAACCATAGTTTCGAACAGGATTTGTAAGATTTTCCACACGATTAATTACTCAGAGCAGTCCGACATTGTCCATGAACTAAAGGTGGTGAAAACGCCACGATACGTAAGAGTGCAGTGTTTCCTCATTTCATAGAAGATTGACAGGTCCCCCTCTTTTTCCTAAAATATTCCGAGATTCCAAATCACAGAGCAATCCAGTATTAAATACGTTTGTTCGCTGGAAATAGTTTTATTTTTGAAAAATAAATTCATAAAAAATTAATGAATTGTTTTTGTATATTTAACAGATCCCTATAATACGTATTTGAGATTTTGAACTCCATATAGAATGAATGAAGGGAGATGATGATGATGATGATCTCGATGCATCCCTGTCAAATATTATATATATCAAGGCAAGTGGGCAGAAAGTCAGTGAGTGCCGTCCCCATGTATGATAAGGGATGTGAACATCTCCATGGAATGTTTAATTACACCGTGTCCTTCCATGTTTTTTTTTATTTATGTGGGGTGTTCAAGCGTGTCCTTCCATGCTTTTTTTTTTTTTTTATTTAGGTGAAGTGTTCAAGCACTTAATACCCTGCAACCCTGCAAATCTAGTAGGTATGTAAGACACCGTGAAAATGATAGACATACACGTTAGGACTCAAACCCAGGTGCAGGTGCAGTGAAAGAACTCCATCCACCACTAGACCACGCCCTTGTTTGCTTCCATGCACTTTCTTTATTGTTCTTTGTTCTTGCCATGGAAAATTAAAAAAATAAAGGGATGTACTGCATGGACACAGTTTTCTTGAGTAAATCTTACGTGCCACCACATTTTTTTAATAGAAATTTTCCACAAGGAGAATGCAAAGGAAAGCAAAGTCAACAACGACTACAACTTTGAAGAGTTGAGGTTGATTTTTTCAAATCAAAATGAGATCACCAAGGCATACAGTTACCTGTGAATTGTCAACATCTATCTATCTACACAGCGTGTGGAAAGACACCCTAACCTCCATCATTTTGCTCTTCTGTTCAAGGTAGAATATCAACTTTAATGTTGTTTTCAAATTAGCTTTCCCGTGTGTGTGTATATATATAAAGGTTTTAAAGTAATTTTTCTTTTTCCAAAAATAAAGAAAAAAAATCAAAATTATGTGTGCACACATGAAAGTTATACATCAAGTGGTCGGAGTGTATATTGTTGGTTATAATGTAATTAACTATCTGTAGGGCTCGTTTATTATTTAGAATCGTTTCTGAAGAAACAAAAAAAAAAAAAACTACTTGATAAAGATATTAATCGTCTGGCGTTTTTGAGAATCTGCCAAAGCATTGTGGACAATTCCTTGAAATAAAATTCAACTCCCTGGTTCAAATATATTATCCATGTTTGAATTAGGAACGTATTCATAAGAAAATATATTCTGCAGTTGCGTTTTGAATCCTCCAATAGCTTGACTAGTTATATTCTAAATCTCACAATTAATATTCTTAAATTCAATACTATAAATTAAATAAGAGAAATAAAAAATAAGTTGAGATGAGATTCAATCAATCCAATAATTTGATTGCATTAATAACATTTATATTAGATTGGTATTAGATTGGTGGTTCGCACTACATTGCAAGCCGGGTTATATTTCACTAATATAAAAAAAATTAATCAAATGATTTCAATGTACTATAAAAAAACAAAAAAGATATGAAACGCGGGTAATTCATTTGAATGAGTTTAATAAAATTAGTTAATTTAATAATATAATTAAAAAATACTGATAATAAATAAAGTGAATAATAAAATTAGCAATAATTAACTATAAAAAATAATTTATTAATATCAAAAGAAAAAAAACCCCTTTGAAGGCTCATCTTCTCTCTATCGTAAACAGTACCCCACCACTAGAAGAAGTTAATCGAGATGATTTTAATACTATTGCAAAAAGTTACATGATAATATAAAAAAAGACCACACATGCAATTAGAGTAACGATTTATAAAGCAAACCAAGAAGAAAATCATGAAATAAACATATTATTTTTATATCTAATCAATTAATTTAATTTAATTCAAAAACAAATTTTTTTAATAAAAACTAAATTCAACAAAGTATGAAAATTAAAAAGACTTGAGATAAACCAAATTATTTTCAAAATTAATAAAAAAATCATATAGAAATAAAATAAAAAAATATATAATATTTTGATCACTTTACTATATAAAAAACATATAAAATAACATATCACTCTCAATAGAGAGACTGTCTATTGTTTTTTCAAACAAAGTCATTATTTCACTATTTTCTATTTTAATCTACAACTTATATTCTAGAGATACAATATTTACTGCAACAATGTTTTATCCACCCATCATAGTTTGTTTTAAATCTTCTTGAATTGCACAACCCATAAGAAGTTTAACTACTAAATAAATGTATAGTTAAACTCAACTCAATTAGACATATAAAACATGCCTAGTTATATTTCGGTCCTTCCCTAACCTTTCTTCATAACTTCCTTGAAAGTCCCTAGCACGAGGACGCCCCCCCCAAAGTCCCATACGTGGGCTTGTAGGCAGCGGCAGCAGCAGCTTCACAAAAGGATCGCTTTACTTTTTTGAAATCGTTACTTTGACTAGAATAGTTCTTTTATATTTTCGATACTGCCAGCTGCCCTGTATATAAGAGGTGGTAGTTAAACTGCCAGAAGCATATTTTACTCCAAGCAAGCTTGCGTAGCCATCCCTTCCTTGGAACCTCACAAACAAAGATCAAAGAAAGCACAGAAAGAGAGAGAGAGAGTGAGAGAGAGAGAGAGAGAACTATTTTGCAGGCACTGTTGGTGAGCCATCTTGATTTATTCTCCTCTCTTACAGTTTTATGTGCATGTTGATGGGTTGTTGCAGTGGACTTGATTGCTAAAAACTTTGATTATTTTCATGATTAAAGATTAAACCTTTTTCTGATTATGGTTATGATTGTTTTCATGATGAACACAGGCTTGGAGATTCTGATACCACGCATCAATTTTGTTAGTTCTTTAATGGGCCTTTCTTTTTCAATACTCTTATCTGCATGGTCTGCAATTCTGGGACACAAGTTTTTTGGCTCAAAGGATACTGTTGAAAATACTGTTGTAAGGTCCCTAAGCTTTGGAAGGAGAGATGGAGAAATGGGTCCAAGAACAAACAGCTTCAAGAAAGATGGTTCTGAAACCACTGGAAAGTTTGATGGGTCAAATAAAATGAGTATAGAGAGATCATTAAGCTTTGACCACTGGGACTCCAACGAAACAAAGGCTAAACCATCTGATTCATCCAAAAATTCGAATTCTCTAAAGTTCAAAGCTAATGAAATAGTCCACCTAACAAAGCCTACAATATCACTCCCTGAACCACCTGTGATCTTCTTTTCCCCAAGACCTATTAGTGAGCTTGATGCGGCTGCAACCAAACTTCAAAAAGTCTACAAGAGTTATAGGACTAGGAGGAACCTTGCAGATTGTGCAGTTGTTGTTGAGGAACTCTGGTATGTCTTTCAATATCCTTAACTTCTTGACTCACAAACCTATTTGTTTTGTGTTCTTTGTGATAATTTGTTGTAATATTCATTTGGTATTTCAATTGTTGTAGGTGGAAGGCCTTGGATTTTGCTACTTTGAAAAGGAGCTCCGTATCATTCTTCAGCATTGAGAAACATGAAACTGCTATCTCAAAGTGGGCTAGGGCCAAGACGAGGGTTGCCAAGGTACGGTACTTAATTGCTGGTTTCTTTCATACAAATGAATGAGTTGATTCATTAAAAGTTTCATAAAATAACATGTGTTCTCTTTGTGTTTGCAGCTTGGGAAGGGTTTATCCAAGGATGAGAAGGCTCAGAAGTTAGCCCTACAACACTGGCTTGAAGCTGTAAGTCCACCATTTTATCTGCGGCTTTTATTGAATTCATTTGGTCTAACTAATTGATCACCTTGCTTAATAAAGTGCTCCCTTATGTTCTGCAGATCGATCCACGCCATCGTTATGGACACAATTTGCACTTCTATTATGATATTTGGTCTGACAGCAAGAGCACACAACCTTTCTTCTACTGGTAAATAATTAAGACTCGTGCAAAACCAATATCTTAATATGATATGCAGTTGTACAAGCATTGCCTACCTTCATTTAGTCCTTTATTATAATCTTCAGTTTTAATGTCGGTATGGAATTGCAGGTTGGACATTGGTGATGGTAAAGAAGTAAACCTTGAGAAGTGCCCAAGGAGCAAACTTCAACGCCAATGCATTCAATATCTTGGACCAGTAATGTCTCATGACTCTGCCAGTTTGCAATTCAATTCTAAATTCCCAGTCCCCTAAAACGCCTTTTCTGCATACATATGTTTCTAATTTTCATGCATTTATTCAAGTTCTCAGATAGTTCTTGGTCCTTGCAGAAAGAAAGGGAAGCATTTGAGGTGATTGTAGAGGATGGCAAGCTTGTGTACCGCCAAGCCGGAATTCTTATTAACACGACGGAGGATACGAAGTGGATTTTCGTGTTAAGCACATCAAGATCCTTGTATGTAGGGCAGAAGAATAAAGGCGTTTTCCAGCACTCGAGTTTCCTTGCTGGCGCAGCTACAACAGCAGCTGGAAGATTAGTAGCCCAAGATGGAGTTCTTCAGGCTATATGGCCCTATAGTGGTCATTATCTCCCTAACGAGGAAAATTTCAAAGAGTTCATTAGTTTTCTCGAGGAGCATAACGTGGATTTAACAAATGTTAAGGTAATTAAAAGCTTAAAGCTCGAAAGACCTCCTAGTAATTGCCTTGGTGTGACGACAACCATGTTTATGTGTTCATTTGTAGCTTATTAATAACTCTCACCATTTCTTTGCAGAAATGTTCAATAGATGATGACTATGATTCATTCAAAGTTGTTGATGATAAGTCTAGAGAAGAGGAGATTAAGGAAGTCCTCACCACAATCACATCTACCGACACAAAAGCTAATGATGTTGATGGGCCTATTGATAATACGACAGCCAACGCTCAACAAGACGGTACAGAGGCTAATGCAGCCAAGTTGCAAGCACCAGTATTTGACCTGAGCAAACGTTTGTCGTGCAAGTGGACTAGTGGATATGGTCCCCGAATTGGATGTGTGAGGGACTATCCGGCTGAATTACAATCTCGGGCACTTGAGCAAGTCAACTTGTCGCCTAGGATCAATCCTGGTGCAGGGAGTTGTGTTCCAATCCCTTCACCGCGGCCTAGCCCAAAGGTTCGAGTCTCGCCAAGGCTCGCATACATGGGACTTCCTAGCCCTAGGGTATCCGTTAATTAGCTTCTGCGTGCTAAAGAGTTGTGAGATTTCACCAAATGGTGAAATGCCATGGTCCATGTTCATCATGTTTTCTGAATTTTTGAGGTTTAATTTGATCGGATGAGCTCTAGGCCTTAAAATAATGCTCAAGAGGGAGACAAGGCACTCCTCGTGACCTTACCATCAGTTTTTCTAGTGAGGGAACATTCAATTTACCCATTCTTCTATTTATTTCTTTTTTCATGAAGTTGTACAGATAATAAGATAATAAACCAAATAAAGTTCTTTCTTTTAATCTCAAAGTTGTGGTGTTATTTAGTTTGTGAAATATAATGGAGAGGAATCGAGGGCCAGGGCTTGATGATGCAAGAGAAGAATATCTTCTAATCGTCTCTTGCTGTCTGACATGGAGAGGGTGGAGGTGGGTTGGTGGTTGTTGACAATCTGATGTATTTTTTGGTCTCCATTACTCAACAAGGAGAACAATAACAAATTCAAATGTGCTAATCGAACTGAAGAAAAAGGCAGCAGGTGACTTTCGCAGAAACTCGGATGATCATATCCCATTCCCCATGCTCTTTGTTTGAACGCTGCGCCTTGACTATTGACTCAGGGCCATCCCCCATCACGTGAAAATTGTAAGAGACGACCTTTCTGTTCGTCACTTTTCCATTTCTTCTTTCTCTAAGGGCGGGGAATGTGGACCCGAAAGTTAATTCTTGGGCCTGTGTACGCGTTCTCCTACCTGTCCCAGAGACACCGCAGGTTATTAATTCTCTTGTACAGGGAGGTTGGAGTAGTGAAATAACGACACACCCGGCAATCCTGTTTCCCTCACATTTTATTTTTATTTTTATTTTCGCATTTCTTATCTTTTTTTAGTTATTGATTTTTTTTTAATTTAACCTTGTGTTAGGAATTTAAAATTAATAATTTATTTTTATATGGTTACCATGGTATCCAAAAAAAACTCTATATTGTGGTATAATTTATTTTAAATTTTTTTAATTAAATAAAAATAATTTTTTTAAAAAAACTAGGTTATTAAATTTTATAAAGTGAATGATTAGGTGGTGAATTTAGCGAGGTAACTTTGATTGTCCTAATTTGGAGATTTAGCAGGCTACTTTTTTTATTTTTTTCTAATTAAACTCGATTTTATGATTGGTTATTTTTCTTTTTATAAACTTATTATAGTCTTAAAAAAAATTTCAGTATTGGTTATACTCAATTTTACAATTATGTATTTTTGTTATCATATATTTAAATAAACAATAAATTAGAGAGAGAAAAAACAAATTATTAATTTCAATGAAGTTCATTATCTAGTTTGCGAGTTTGATGTGTTGACTCATGGTACTTGATTCACAGGTTTAACAAGTTTACCCATCAAACCCGATATGTATTTTTTTTTTTAAGTTTTTGGTCCTTTGATTTTTTTTTGATTTTTTATTTCACTTTTTTTCAATATTTGATTGATTAAAAAATAAATTTATGTTTTTTTTTTCTATAGGATTATCACGATTTCAATAACATCTTTTTTAGGGTTGATGCTCAATTTTGCAAGCATTTAATTTTATCATAATATGAAATAAAAATATTTTTTTACAAAAAAGGTTATTAAACTCATTGAAATTCATGACTTAGGTCATAAAGTGACCAATATCGATCCAATCTATCATTGTCATAATATTAAAAAAAAATATAATCTTAAAGTTTTTTTAAAAGTTATGTCATATTTTTATCGATCATCCATATTGTCTTTTAACCTATTAAATTGAATGATTTACTTTAGATTAGCCTCTACATGATTTAATTTGAAACTCGAGCTAGACAAAAAATAGGGTTGGTAGATTTCAAAATCAAATCACTTGATTGGATTTAATGAGATTTAATGATACTACCAAAAAAGTTTCCATATTCTTAATATTTTTTTAAGCTTAGAAAAAGAATAGTCTAACCCATAGCGAAGCACGAACAAATCTACTGGTGTTAGATACTAAAGGCATTATATATAAATTAAGGTGTTCATACATATAGTAGGATAGAGTTTGGATTCATAATTGTATTCAACATAATTTTTAATATTTTATAAATTTAAAATCTATTCTATCTAATTTTTTTAAACCCGAGCTAGTTGGATATATCAAATTAGGCTATTTTTTTTTTTATGAATATTACATATCCATGAGTTGAAGTTGAAGCACATTAAAAACATCTTCCTTAATATTATATCTTGAACTTTAAATTGACACTTCTAGCATTTGTTAAACTATTAATATTAACAAGATCTATTATGTTTAGTTCAGCTTAGTTCATCAACAATTAAATGTGTGTGTGAATCTTAGAACCTTTTAGTCTTATATCACATTCCTAATATGACCAAACAACCATTTAACTAAATAACAAAATAAATTATTTCAATATAACATATACATTAATAATAAATCAAATGATAGTCAATTTGATTGATCAATTTAATTCGACAATTTATTTTCAATATTACTTATCGACATAACAAATCAATATATCAATTAATTTCATCTAATAATTCATTCTAATAATTTTTATTGATCTAATAAATCAACTCAATCAACTAATTCAATTTAACATTTTATTTTGATATTTCCCATCAAAATAATTATTATTATAACAAATTATTGAATTTAATTGATATAACACAACGATCAACTTTGATATTAGCAACATAATTAATTAATGAAGTAGATTGATTTAGACACAATCAATATCGATAACAACTATCAATGTAATAGGTCAATAAAATTTATTTCATTCATTTCTACAATAACTTCCACCACTAAAAGCATCAATTTATATCCAACATTTTTATAACACCTCTCAAGCAACAAATAGTTTCCTCAAACTCGTTATTTTTTCATATTATGGATAACAATAATATCATCAAATAACACATAATATTTTCTTTAATTATCTATTTTAACATATTATTTATAACACAATTTACCCAAATTGCAATAATTTATAATAATATAATGTTTTCCCTAAATTTCTCTTCGAGAATCCTAACAAAAAAAAAATCCAATTTCATGCATAAAACTAGAGTTTATTCCATAAAACTCATATCATTGGGTTTACCAAGCATGGAAGTAAGCTTTGAATGTTAGCATGTTGATTCTCTTTTTAAAATATCTAAATTCTCCTCTCAATTCTTGTCTTAGTGATGTTAGCAACTTGATTCTTAAACTTACCAAACTTTCCTCTTTGATTTATGGTGAAACCCAACCATTTCAAAAGAGAACAATGAAAAAAAAAACATAAATCCTCCCCCCGCTCTCTCTAGCAAAAGTTAGCAACCATTGAAGAGAAATGATGAGATTTTCTTTTCTTTTTATATTCCTAGTTTACCCCTTTCTTTTTTTCTTAACATCCTTTTATTTTTATTAATTTAAATTAGATCATGGAAAAATTTTAGTCGGGTTCTATACCATATATTTCTTTATCATTTCCAATCATCCTCATATTATCAATTCCTAAAACTCACAATAAAAAAAGCAAAAATTAGCTTGACATTATAGATCAAAGGTAATTTTACTAATGAATGATAAATTAGGAATAAGAAGTACATCATAAATTGTTAACAATGATATGAGTTTGATAGTTCTTATCCTAATGATAATCAAGAGTGGCCATTTATAATTTTAGCCTTTATTAGTATACATAGACTTTATGATTAAAAATAATTTGGAGCAATCAGTCATACGATGAGTTGCTCCAAAATCAATTATCAAATTATAGGTAAAATTAGGAATAACACCTAAAAATATAGCAGAAAAAAGTTACTTTTCTACACCAAGGAAAAAGATGAAGTTAAAGATATTTTTTAGGTTGAAAAAAATTAAACAAGTGATCTAATTGCTTCTTAGTAAAAGGGACAAGATTTGAGTTAATAAAAAACTCATAAGTCTTTTCAGCAATGGTTTGGCAGGCATGACCATCACATTTAGATTTTGGCTTCCAATTTTCTAGTTCATCATCAAGTTTCCAGCACATGTTCTTCGCATGCCACTTTTTTGAAAAGCTCGCACCATAGTTTCTTATACTCATTGTTGTTAGAATCAACACCTCTTGACACTAGAGTAGAGCTTTTAGGTTTCAAGTTGAAACCAGGTTTGATGTTGCACAACATGATTTTTATCCTTAACTCCTCACATCTGACTTTAGATAAAAAAAAAAAAACCTTCTCGAATAGAGGATAATGGCTTCCTACAAAAAATACAGCCTCAAACCTCATCCAAACTCTTATTAAGGTTGGTTAAAAACATGTAAACCTTGTCGTTTTTTTTCTTTTTTATGGCAATCGTGGTCGTTCGAATTCTCTCAAACATCATCATTACACTGATAAAGTTCTTGTCATAACATTCTCAATTCATTGTAATAAGTAGTAACATTATGATCATTATACTTGAATCTTTAATGTCTAGTCTTTAAATCAAAGATTTGAGAATAATTCTCTAAGTCCAAATAAAGATCTTAAATGCCCTTCTAGACATTTTTAGCAGTGGGATGAAATAAGTAGGGTTTTCTAATGACAGGTTCATGGAATTGTAAGCTAACCAATAATAAGAGGATTTTTGGACTATAATTTTTTTATATTATGATCACTTGTCACAAGTTTTGATATTTTCCCAGTCAAATGCCTCATTTTTCCTCTTCTATCAATAAATGATTTTACATATTAAGCGTACTTGAGATATTATGGCCATCAAATTTTGTAATTGTAAGTCAAAATGCTAAATTATGGGAAAAATGATATATGGGAGGAATAATGAGATTAGGTGGAATGGTTTTGGAAGTGCTAGAAAAAGTCAGAAGGAATAATAAAATTTCTTTAGGTGATAGTCATTGCTAACTTATATGACATCATTAGAAAAAAAAATATAACTAAAAAGGCATGAGGCTAAGATACATTATAGGTTTTTTTTTTTAAAAGGATGATTATAAAATAAATAGTAAAGGAAGAGCATCAAATTAAGAAGATTATCAAAGAATAAAAAATTATACAACATATCTTTCGACTATAAAATAGGAAATAAAAACTACTAGAATATGAAATAGTAATTTCAAATTTTATTCGCAAAAAATAGGAATTCCTAATTTATTTCTTAGAAATCCAAAAAAAATCCATAGTAAAAATACAAACAAATTACTTCAATTGCAAATATATATATATAATGGACAAAGATACAATCCTCAAATTTGTCTAAAAATTACTTATTGTTTGATCGATGAGCAATATAATTTGTGGTATATAAAATTAATTCAAACTTTAGATCATTCTCATATGGATTAGGATTTAAAGGAGACTCAATTCTTTTGTCAACCATGTCCAGGGAGTAGATAGCTTTTTGATAAAAGGTGGGTGATAGAATATACTTCATTTATTGTATAAGGTCTTACATGGATGAAATGGTTAAAATAATGGATTGTTGTTTTATCTTGGTTATTGGTCAGTGGCAAGAGTATTTTTGGATTCTAGCATGCGAAAAAGTTGATAAAATAACATATTTTAAAAAATATTTAGAGAAATAAAATAGTTTAGAAGGTTACAGATATCATGTGATTATTTCAAATTATAAATTTTGAAAGACACATGATTTAATAAGGAGAAAGGAAAGGGAGAGAAAAAACAGAAAGAAAGAAAGAAAGAAAGCAAAAGATACCAGAGGCATGCCTAAACTCTAATAATGACATTACAGTTATCGTTGAAAAGATTTCGATGAAATGAATTCAATGACACTAAGAAATGTCATCAACAATTATTGAAGTGGGCCACACAAGTGATCCAAAAACAAGTGAGCCTCGACACCTTTGGATGACTTGTGTGTCCCACTCCTTTCACCATTTATGACATTCTTTGATGTCGGTTGACTCGTCTCATTAAGATTTTTTCAATGATACTGATAGTGTTATTATCGAAGCTTCGATGTACCTTTATAGTTTCTTTCTTTTACTTTTTCTTACTCCTCTCTTTATAAATTATGAGGAGAGATGAGAGAGAGAAAATAAAAAAGCAAAAAAATGAAAAGAAAATTATCATGAAGATACACCTAAGCTCCATTAATGACACCACCGATACCATTTGGAAGATCTTAATAAGACAAGTCTAATGATACCAAATAAGGTCATAAACGGTGAACAAAGTGGGCCACAAGAGTCATCCAATGATATCGAGGCTCATGTGGCCCACTCTGATTATTGTTGGTAACCTTTCTTGGTGGTGTTGGATTTGTCTTATCAAGATCTTTTCAATAGTACTAGTAGTATCATAATCAAAATTTTGATGAGCTTCTAAGTTTTTATTTTTTTCTTTCTATTTTTCTCTCTATCAAATCTCCTTATTAAATTATGTGCCTTTTAAATTTTGCAATTTGAAAGAGTCAACTTGTGAATCATAGATGTCATATATGACTTTCTAAACTGTATTACTTCCTTATATATTTTTTGCATTTTGTTATTTTGTCATAATTGGTTTTTTTTCACTACTCTAAAAACCTTAAAAAAACTCCTAATAAAAAGTAAGGTTGATCATTTTCGGTTCAGCTTTTATAAAAAAAAGTAGTCAAACTGGTTTTTTTCAAAAAAAACCAAAATCGGTTTAAACCAATCGGTTTCGGTTTGGTTCTGTTATTTTAGAACAAAAACCAATTTTTTTAATTTGGCTCGGTTTTTTCAATTTGGCTCAATTTTCTTTCCTGTTTTGCTTAATTTTTTCCAGTTTGGGTTCGTTTTGATTTTTTCTATTTCAAGCTTGTAAAATCAAAACCAAATTAAACTGGTTGGTTTTTGAAAAATTCTAATCGATTTAATCGGTTTTTCTTTTTTATAGTTTTGTTTTTTTTAATTTTAGTTTAATTAGTTTTTTAATTTTTTTATTCATCCCTAGTGGCAAGGAATATAAAGAAGGTAGAAGTGCTAGTATGCACCATAGAGAGTCAAAATGGAAATTAAAAAAAATCTTACTGCAACACTTACTGCTGAAGGGTAACCTCGGTGCCAATGCCTGACAAAGACACTAGCAGGAAACATGGTTGTAATTAACAAGGAAAAGACTTCATTAGCTCATTTATTGCAGTGAGCTGTATTCTCTAGATGCTTGCAAATTAACCTGCAGCTTAAAGCAACTAGAGAAAAGTCAACTTTGAAACCAGTGAGGAATCATCTCACGCATAGTGAGGAGTTTACCAAGACAAACTTCCCTGCTCGGAGGTCTAGTTCCTCTCTAGCTGGTTGGATTTCAGACTAGTGAAGTTCCCATTGATTACTCTTTAGAGCTGAGATGAGTCAGGCCAAGACAATTCAATTGAGAATTGAGACGAGAAGGGTCATTTTGATTTATCGTTTAAGTTATTGATGGTGCTAGCAGCACCTCTAATGTTCTTAATTTATACAAAGAATGCATCAGATGCCAACTGCAATAATAATTTTTCAGTGTTTTATAGAGGGCACGTCAAAGAATGTATTGCTTAAAAGAGCATCAGGGAAACCCTAGATTTTAATATTGTAACTAATCTTTATACTTCACAGCACATACCGAAAAGAGATGCATTGCTATTATGAACCAACATAGGATGCTCTGTTTAAATTTTGAACACATTCCCGAGCTTAGGAGTTGAGTTAAAGACATGTGCCCGAATTAAAAAATTCTGCAAAAAGTTAACCAATATGCCAATTCCCACTGAACAAGATTTGAAAAACATGCATTTGGTTGGCTTTTGGGACAAATCCAAAATTAAAAATTCAAACTCCATCTTTGGCACTTTGCAAGCAAGCAAGCAAGGATTGCTAATCTGGAGTGGACATATCATTGGTTTCCATTTACTGACATTGTATTACTGATCAGCTAGGCGGTCACTGGCTTTCAACTTTTTCACTCCCAACAACTAAACTAAATAGTGTTTGTTTACAAAACACCAGATCTTCGTTACACTGACTAGAGAAGATTTATTGTCGGCATGCTTTTGTAGTAACCAAAGGGTTGGTGCCTTTCCATGTTTTTTTACCAAAAGCAGGTACCTCCATCTGTAATATTATATTATAGTACTATCCAAAGGACCCAACAATCTCCTCCTTAGAAATCGAGCGGGACGAGTCGTTGATTGTCTCTTGCTTGTTTGAATTTCAAATATCAAACGGGCACATTGGACAATGTAAGCAGAGACAAAAAGAAAGAAAGGAAAAAAACCCACTAACCCACCATCAGAACCCACGTCTCAAGTCTTGCCCATTTCGCATCCTCCCTCTCTCTTGCTTTCTCCAGCTAGCTATTTTTCAAGCTCGGTTTCTTCAGAAATTTCTACCTTTTTCGGCTCTTTCTAATACTACATCAAGCTACATTATTGCAACATTTTTTTTTAATTTTTTTTTTTTTTGCATCTTTCAAGTTTTAAGAGGTTTAAACACCATATCTGGTTACGTGCTTGCTCTGCTTGAGCAAGAAGTTTTTAGTGATGGGTGCTTCAGGAAAATGGGTGAAATCCATTATAGGTCTAAAAAAGTCTGATAAAGATCAAGACCAATATGTAAGCTAAAACACTATCAAACCAAAAAGACCCGATCATTATGTTCTTTACTGTAGTGATAGTAATGCTAGTGATATGTGTTGTTTCTGTAGGAGAAGGTCAGTGGAAAGAGCAAGAAATGGAAGCTATGGAGGAGTTCATCTGGAGATTTGGGGTCTTCATGGAAGGGTTTCAAAGGGAACCACAGAGCAGCATCAGAGGCATCGGGTTCTTCACCACTGCCTGATCCATTTACTGCTGCAATGGCTACTGTGGTTAGAGCTCCTCCTAAGGATTTCAGGGTTGTCAGGCAAGAATGGGCTGCTATCAGGATTCAAACTGCTTTTCGTGGATTCTTGGTAAATGATTTTTTTTTTGTTCTTGGATCTTTTTTAACTGTTTGATTGCTGAGAAAATGGAATAGGAGGGAAAGAAAGTTCAATGTTTTGAAATTTTATGATTTGGGTTTTGCATTTACTGTTTGCTGGAAAAATAGGAACTTTCCCCATTCTGTCAACTAGAAAAAAAAAATGAGAACTTCCTTCAATTTTTGTAATTGGAAAAATTGAAGACACTAAACATCTCAGATAAATTCACCCAAATGCTGTGTTGAAATATTACATGGAAAGCTCAAGATCTGTTGGTGATCACTGGCTCTATTTGCAACATCACTGAATCCTATGTTAGCAAATGAAACTCTAATCAAACAAAGGAAACAGGTAGTCACATAAGAGACAACTTTCTGAATTTCAAAGCAAAAACTTTGAATAGAAAACTAGGCAAATCAATTTACATTTTTTGTTGAATTGAACTATAAAGTAACTGGTGTAGGCAAGAAGGGCTCTGAGGGCCTTGAAAGGAGTGGTGAGACTCCAAGCTCTAGTTCGAGGTCGACAAGTGAGGAAGCAGGCTGCAGTGACACTTAAGTGCATGCAAGCTCTTGTTCGTGTTCAAGCTCATGTTAGGGCTCGTCGAGTGCGAATGTCCTTAGAAGGGCAGGCAGTGCAGAATATGCTGAATGAGCGACGTAGCAAGGCTGACCTCTTGAAACATGCTGAGGTATGATGAAAACCACTAAATATACACATGTTAATGACCATTTTGGTAGTCCTAAGCACTAGCTATGCTGATTTAAACTCTTTTGCAATGCACTAAGGATCTTGATTTAATTTCAGGAAGGGTGGTGTGATAGAAAGGGGACATTAGAAGACGTGAAGTCAAAACTGCAAATGAGGCAAGAAGGAGCTTTCAAGAGAGAAAGAGCTATTGCTTACTCCCTTGCTCAAAAAGTATGCCACCATCATATGTGCTACCTTTCTCTTTCATATAAGCTAAGTATCTTCACTAACTTCTTTAGTTTTTCAGCAATGGAGATCAAATCCCAGCTCAAACACTCGATCCAATAACTCGGTATATTCTTTCAAGAATGAGGAGTTTGATAAGAATAGCTGGGGATGGAGTTGGCTTGAACGTTGGATGGCAGCCAAGCCATGGGAGACTAGATTGATGGAACAAGCCCATACTGATCCCTCAGTGACTCCCCCACCCAAGTCCTGTGTAGATGCAAGCACACATTCGAAATCCTTTGAACAAAGTTCAGTGAAAGTGAGAAAGAACAATGTAACTACTAGAATTTCAGCGAGACCTCCAATCGGGCATGTTACTCGCTCATCTTCAAGTCCAAGTTCTGAAGTCCGCTTTGATGAGAGCTCAGCTTCTTCATCAATTTGTACCTCTACAACACCAATATCAGGAAACACTGGCTTGGCCTCAGATAAAACAGAGGAGAGTGGTAACAGCAGGCCAAACTACATGAACCTGACCGAGTCAACCAAGGCAAAGCAAAACACATCCAGTAATTTATTTCATAGGATTCAAAGGCAGTCCATGGATGAGTTTCAGTTTCTCAAAAAGTCAGGGGCGTTCTCAAATGGAGATTCAAAAAGCAGTGCTGGTTCTGACCCTTCAGTTAATTTATCCAGGCCACTTTGCATGCCGACAAGATTTGATAAGAACTCGATGAAACAAATAAGAGGAACGGATCATTTGTATGTCTAGATGGATTGATTTATGTTTGTTAAGAATTTTCAACGACTTGTTGTTCTCCATTGTTGAGATGTGTACTAATTTAGGAGCATTTCTGCAATCATTACTAAGCTGTAGCTAAGACAGCTTGATGAGTATGCTAGTGTTTTGAGGGCTATCCATTCTGTAAAATAGTTCATTTATGGCTGTGTATGTGATATCCACCAGTAGCTTCCTACTATCATACCACCAAAATTGTGACAGATCAATGGATATTTGCAGGACCTGGATTGTTCTAGCGCATTTGTGCCATCACCTTCAAATATTGTGAAATCACATCGATATTGTGGTGTGTTTTTTCTCCTTTCATAAAGTGGGTGTCTAGTGAGATTTGGCTGGGAGCCAATCCTCTTCCTTCCAAGTCATGACCACAGATCATTGCTACTTTTTTCAGTTTGCTTTGGATGAAATTTAGTTGCTCAAAACATGCTCTCTCCATAATAGTACTACTGTCAAAACATGTATTATATTTATATCAGACTGGTGAGAACAAAAAAATTAGTTTATCTTCATAAAAGCATGCTAGAGTTAATACATGTTTAAGATTATAAATATACAAAAGCATAACTTCATTTTTAATATGAATATGATAATAAAATTATAGCATACATACTAAACATATAATTAAACTTGGAATTGATATCAATTCAAAATTTTAATATGCACATTTGTAATAAAAAATATCTATATTTAAATTAAAACAAATGAGTATATTTATTTATTAAAGCACTTTAAAGTAATTAAAATTTTATTATTATCGATAATGAATTATTCATTTTTAAAGCTTTATTGTTTTTCACTGGTACAACTAAAATAATTTTAAGATATCTCTAAAGATTTCAATAACATCATTTCAATTTAAATGTACTTTTAAATAAATTTTTAAATTAAAAACCTTTAAATATCTCTTACAAGATATAAATCTAAACTCTAGATTTTTGAAAAAAAAAAAACTACAACATAAAAAGAAATGAAAACACTAAAAATAAGATGAGAAAAAAATAAAGATATTGAAAAAAAATTCAAATTTGAAACTCTTCACATATAAGAAATGAAAACACTAAAAATAAGATGAAAAAAAAGTAAAGATATTGAAAAAAAATTCAAAAATAAAAAATAATTAACTCTTTTTATAGTAAATTTTAAAAACTAAAATGTAGAAGAAATAAAAAATAATTAACTCTTATCATTATCAACATTAAATTAATCACTACAAATTAAAAATAAATCTAGAAAAACTACAAATTAAAAATAAATCTAGAAAAACTACAAATTAAAAATAAATCTAGAAAAACTACAAATTAAAAATAAATCTAGAAAAACTACAAATTAAAAATAAATCTAGAAAAACTACAAATTAAAAATAAATCTAGAAAAACTACAAATTAAAAATAAATCTAGAAAAACTAAGGTTATTTATCATTCACTCATAATTTTTTTAAATCATATTAATTAAACAAATTTTCAACAATAAATATAAAATAAATTCTTTGCACAGGGCACACTTATCAACACGAAGATTTATTAACTATTTATTCGGAACGATGGCTTTTCCATGATAGTGCTAGATATGTGATATTTCTGAGAGATTTATCTCAGAACAACAATCTTCAAGTTCGTTTTATGATTCTAAGCTTTACTCCACGCTTGAAGTTGAGAACTATGCCAAATTCAAATTCAAGAGGTTTTTCCATGTTTGGGGAATGTCGAAATAAATATTTCCGGTACAAGTGTATCAGAGAGAGCTTGATTTCTTGTATGGAAAATTTCTTGCCAATGCAAGCTCTTGGTCCGATTCCAAAGGGTATAAGAGCGCAAGGATGCCTTCGTTTTTCTTCTTCGCAATTTGGATCAAACCTCTCTGGCTTGAACTTGTCTGGATCTGGGAAGTTCTTAGGGTCTTTTGCTAGAACTCCAGGTGCTAACCAGATCCATGTGCCCTGTTCATCCCGAAGGAAACAGTAAGTACATCTAAAATGGTAGGTGTATGAGTTCTAGGCACGTAAACAGTCATACAGAATCAGATCACTGCTCTATAACAATACCTTCGGGAGAACATAACCTCCTATCTCTACTTCTTTTGATGTTTCTCTTGCAACTAATGGAGAAACAACGTAAAATCTCATCGCCTCTTTAACTACCTGCAATTAAATCATCTATCAGAAAATGAAATTCCACAGTTTGATAACACACTCCATGAAACATGGAGGTCAGGGTTTGCAATGACAGCAAAATCTTTGTGGGTCAGATAATTCGGAGAAAGTAATAATGCGGCATCAGGAGACCGATAGAAAAACTTCAAGAGACTCGCCTGGTCAAGATAGGGGAATTTGTATTGAAGATCATGAGCTGTTGGAATCTGCTCATGAGGACCAAACCCATCAATTTCAGCAAGCAACTTCTTCTCAGTTTCTGGATGTTGAGCAACTAAATAAACAATTGAAGATAATGTGAAGGATGTTGTAATAGATCCAGCAAGAAGATGCTCATAAGTAACTGCACTAATATAATCTGGAGTAAAAACTTTCTTTGACAGAGTCTCTGATTCCCTTGCACGTAATATCAGTGACAAGAAGTCCTTTGAACCCCTATTTTTCTCTTCCATTTTCTTTCTGACAATCTCATCAAGCCGGCCGCTTATATTCCTATTAGTCCTATCAACTTTCCAGTCCATGGTGCCAGGAATTCGTTTAAGGATCTGCCTAAATGGCTCCTGCAGTATGGGGACAAGTAGACCTATTATAATTGAAAAGGAACCTGACAAGTCCATCTTAAGTTGTGTTGTTGAGTAGATATGTTGATTAATAAACTCTGACACATCACAGTTGTCTTTGCCTTGGTTATGGAAACTGTTGATTGAATCACTGGCTGATTGTGGTTTAGAGAGGCCAAAATCAACACCAAAAGCAGCTTGTCCTATCACATCTGTGGCCAATTTGAGGGAGAAGTTGGAGAAGGTGATTTCTTCATTAGAAGACTGAAAATTCTCGGTTGCAGACTCAATGAATGATTGCATGGTGGGCACTAAGCTGGCTAAGTGTGATGGCTGGTAGACTGAAAGTATTGTGTTTCTCATGGTTGACCATCTTGCATCCCTGCAAGTTCAAATTTCACCAGAAACTTTGCTCATAATCTGCAGTTATTTGCACACTAAATTTTGATGAAGCCTTGGTGAAAAGAAATGAATGAAAACTATTATAGAGAAGATAAGCATGCTTAATCTCTGCGATCATATTACACATGTTACCTGGTGAAGAAGAGACCTTTCTTATGAAGAGGAGAAGCTGAGATGGGAGAGGGAACACTTCTATTTGGAATGTCTTTGAACTTCTTTATCGCAACTTCTTTACAAAGCTCTGGGTCAGCAACTATGATCAGTGGTTGTCTCCCCATATGAAACCTGCTCCATAGTGATCCCAACAAGCCTAAAATTTATTTCTATTCCAAATTTATCAGTAGCCAAACCTAGTTTCAGTGTTTCACCATTTTAAACGAAGGGGCCTAGCAAATCAATAGCCCTGTCTAGAGATAACATTTGACATGTACAAAATCAGATGCAAATCCACAAGCTGCTAATTGTATGAAACAAGAGAGCAAAACAGGAGTTACAGAATACTAAAATTTCTTCTGGAGGGACACCTATCTCTCCACTTCCATCAACATTTCTTCCTTCTCCAATCACCTCACTTTTCATTACTCTTTGAGGAAGTTAGACTAAAAAAAATATCTTTCTAGATAAGGGGAAAAGGAGAGTCAAATTAGACTTTACAAAATTAATCCTCTAAGCAAGTTCAAAGTCCCGACCTAAAGCATATAATACGTATCAATCACAGGGAAAGGAGCAAAAGAAAAACATTCAAGAACTTTCACCAGTTGGAGCATGGCAGCGAATTTAGAGATTAAAAGCTGACCTGACCTGAAAATGGGGCCATAACGTTTTGCAAGAACTGTAAACACATCAGGGCCATGCTTCGCCATCAAGGGAAGGTGACCCAGCAAGGGGATCACTGGAGGGCCTGGCACCTTCCTAACACCCCAGTAGGGTCCATACAAGTAACCCAATAATCCCAATAGCATGGCCATCACTGTGCAAATAATAGCTGTGACCAAAGGTACATCTGTAAACAAGACCTGTAAATCCATACTTGGAGAGTGTTGCCCTCTAAGTAGATGGATGCTCTTGTTACAGAGATTAGAAGAAGAGGGGAGAGCCTCCCAAGCTTATAGCTCTACCAAAATGTGGGGACTGGGGAATGGGAAAAAGAAGTGGTTGTCTCTCTAAGCATCTTTTTTGGCACTATGTCTTTGTTGGTTTTTGAATCATTATATTGGTGACTATTTGCTGCCCATGCCCATGCCCATTATTTCTCAACACCTAGTTAAATATTTCCTGTGCGACAAGTGACCCCTGCATACCATAGGTGCTTTTGACTTGTAAATAAATCATAGTAACTGTCCTGTCACTTGAGATTTTTTTTATGACAAAATAACTTTTGTTTATGAAAAAACAAGTAGAGGGTAAGCATGATTGTCCAGATTCTTGACAAACCATACTGTATAAGATGAACAAATTCTCTGGGACAGTACGAGTTTATAATATGATAAGATGGGATGAAATATGAATAAATAAATGATTCCATAACCATGTTCTTCGTGCTTCCTTAAAAAGCACTTCCATATCCTGGCAAGCACCTATTTAGTTTTCTCAACTCTTCTGCTTCAAAATCGCCTTACAACTTGAAATGAAGACTTGGAAAGTAAATTGTTCTTGATATTATGTTGTGGTGATTTTTATTTTTTATCTTTCCATTTTCTAATTGAAGTGATCCCAAATGATAGAATAACACAATGAAATCATATTATATTCGCTTAACCTAGTCCATTTTCGATCATTGGATGCCATCCACGACAGAATATGCGTATCTTTAAGCAGAAAAGTGACCCTGTTCAGATAATATGGTCAGTCACATCCATGGAAAGCAAAGAATGCGTGCTGACAACTGATGGCTTGTGAAAGAGTCAAGAAAGCAATTACTTTTGCCAGTAAGTCTCCGTTATCCATCTTGCAATGACATATTCGAGCCCTTTCCCCTGCACAACCGTTAGTTTATGCGATTTGTAAAGCTCCTTCGATGCTTTTGCTGGTTTACCATCAAAGTGACTTGAAGCAGGCTTATCTGTTTATGAACTCGATTCGCCCTTTTGGGTCGAAGGTAGTTATCTTGTAGCAACTGTAGTGTGCAAAACCAAGGATTCCTTGGACTCGTAGCTTTGTCTCCGCT